CTCTTGTATGATATTTTCTTCATTTGTACTAGTGTTCATTACTGATTTAATTTGTCTACTCCATTCATTCAAGGTTTCTTTTTTTTTCTTTTTCCAGTCTTTATCGCAGTTTTCAAAATGGTTGACACTAAAATATTTTGTATACTCACTGTATACTGATATAGAATCATCTAATTTTAAAAAATTTTTTTGTATACTTTAAATATAACTAATATATTTAAAGTATACAAAAAAATTTTTTAGAATTAAATGATTTTATATCAGTATACAGTGAGTATACAAAATATTTTAGTGTCAACCATTTTGAAAACAGCGATAATTTTAATTGTCAGCTGAGAAAATTTTTGTTAAAAAAAAATTCTCGAATTTATTAGGTATTACATAAAACAATAAAATTTATTAAAAATATATTTGATCGCTTTAATTTTTAGTGTATAATATGCCTATCGGCATTTGTTATTATTGAAAATGAAAGTTTACAATAACATTACCACTATATAAGCCTCATTGTTAAGATTTTGCAAATAAATTATTTAAGATTAGAAGGAATACAATGTATAAATAATTTATTCTTCTTATATTAATTATCATTATTATCATTATCATCAAACCACATATCATCTTTGATTTCTTTTCGGATTCGCAAATTTTGATAAATGGTTACAAGTTTTTTTACTCGCTCATTATTCAACCGTACACGATTTTGGTTATGAATATATTCAAAGTTAGACCAACATCGTTCTACAGCGGCTGAAGAAGCCGGAATTGAGAGAACTTGGCAAGCAAGTTCGACTATAGAGGGAAATTTATATAAAAAATTTAATTGCCACCAACTTATTGGATTCGAATATTTAACTAAGGCCCAAAGTAATAGCCCAGAAAATTCATCAATTTTGGTGATATATTTTTGAATTACTCTGTAGATCTAGTATAAAAAAAGTTAGTTATTAATTTTTTAAATATCTTTGCAATATTGTAATTATTACTTACATATACAGCAGCTTCAAATGTATAAGCATCTTCAAGGTATGGGATAATCACTTGCTTAAGTTCATTTGGCCTTAATGAGTTTCCACAAATCCTATAAAATTTATAATTTATTAATACAAAATATTTTAAATTTTTCAGATTTGTAATAATTAAAAAAAATTTACCTAGAATCTAGCAAATTCGCAACTGACATTGCAGAGTGAAATATAAAATCAAATCATTTGTCAATTAGATCTAAAACCTTAGATTTAAAGTCAAATTCTAAATCACACAAATCAACTGATTGTCGAATTAATTTTTACTCAGGATGAACATGTGAAAGTAATAGTTCATCAGATTTAAATAGACATATAAGTCGAACAAAAGGTGTCAAGAAAGAAGCTAATTTTTCTAGTTCTTTTCATAATAAGATATTTAGCAGTTAATCACAAAGATCGGTTGAAATTTTTTTACTAATTTCAGGTCATATGATCGCCATTTGAATTCCTAACTTGTATTGAAGTATAGATTTAACTGCATCTAAGCAGGTTCCCCACTGAGTTTCAACGGGTTGAACTAAAGTAATTGTCTCTGGTTGACTTAATAAAAGTGATTCTGCTTGGTGATGTGATCAGAAAAAACAAATAATTTGCTTTGCGTAGCTCATTAATTTATTTGTCCATTCAAGTTTTAATATATCCTTAATTAGGAGATTTCTGGCATATGCATTACAACCTAAACACACCAAACGAGGATAATCTTTATTTAGTAATCTCCAGACAGCCCGCATAGAACTTGCATTATCTGTTACAACACCAGCAAACTTAGAGGGACCAATAACCTCAATTATAGATTTGAGCTTATGATAAATAAAATCTGCAGTATGTAGCTCAGATCCCGTATAGATAGCATTATAAAAAATTGGAGTTGGATAACAAAGAATAAAATTTATAACATATTCTTGTCGGATATTTGACCACCCATCTGATACTAATGTAATATTTGTTACTTCCTTTAGAATTGTATCCAAATTTTGTTGTTCAATCTAGTATTCAGAATCTAGCAGATTATTTGCTAAATTACGGTGATTAGGACTAATATAATATGGGTGTACAGTTCTAACATAGTGTTGTATAGCTTCCATAAATTCCTCTCAAAAAGGATTTTTAATAGCCATAAATGGAATACCAGCTGAATAGAAAAACCTTGCTAATATACTATCTACATCTGATTTATCAAATCGTATATCTTTGTTTAAACCAGGATCCTGATTCTGAGCTTTCAACGAATCTTTTATATTTCTTGAAAGTTTTTTACATTTTATCAGATGACCTTTTAATTGATCAACTAAATCGACACAGTCTTCGCCACAATAATTACATTTTTGTCAAAGTGTTTTTCGACTACATTTATCAGGTTCAACAACTTTCATAAAGTTCAAACAGATTTCATTTAAAGGGGGTCTTCCACGAACGTGAGATATTGCTTTGAAAAATTTTTTTATTTGATCTTTTTTTTTTAAAATTTTAATTATACTATAATTTAATTAAATTACACAATCGGATCATAATTACGTCATAATGTATTAAAACAATTTTTAACAGATTTAAATCAAACAAACATGATTTTTAAGATCATGTTTTAAATCATTTGCCATCCCTATCTGTTATATTTTTGGTTTTGAGTTGTTATTGAGTCCTGATGCCTCTTGTTTGATAAGTTTGATATGTTTACTATATTTAAGAGTAGCTGTAAACCAGCAACCTAGGAATTTGAATGGTGTGTGTATAGGTTGTGTGTGGATAGTTTGGTTCATAAAGTTGATTTGAGGTGTTGTGTTGGTGTTAGAGATTAAAGTGGATTTTTGTGGGTTTACTTTAATATGGGCCATTGTGTAGAAGGATGCAGCTGTTTGAGTTATTTGTTGAAGTTGGCTTATAGATGAACTAAGCCATAATGTATCATCTATGTAGGCTAGAATGGAGGTTAATGTAGATTTATTTTAGAATTTTGTAGGATTGAGTTGTGTAAGCCATTGGACTGATGAGGTATATCCTTTGTATTTGTTGTGTATGTGGATAATTAATGGATCGTAATAGATTTGCCAAAGTAAGGGTGTTATGGTTTCACCCTGATCGATACCATCTTTTACTAAATATGGTATTGTGAGTCCAAAGTTAGTAATAACCTGGTTACATCAGTTGTGTAGGAGGTTTTGTATAATATTAGTTAATTGTGAGGGCATTTGGAGTCTTTGTAACGCTTTAACAAGAAGGTGTAAGTTAACAGAGTCGTATACTTTACTCATGTCCTGTGAAAGTATCCATATCTGTTTTTTGTTATATGTAGCATCTTCGATAAAGTTGTTAAGTATGTGTATGGGATTGTTTGTTGAGTTGCCAGGAAGTGCAACATAGTTGTGTGGGTTAAGTATTGTATGTGTTGTAAAGGTTTTGGTAAGTCGGTTAGTAAGGATTTTGGTGTAGAGTTTTTTAATATGTTCGATTAAACTAATTGGTCTGGTGTTATTAAGATTGCCATCAAATTGAGGTTTTTTAGAGATAGGGTATATTCTGCTGTCTTTCCATTGTTTAGGAATGTTTTGAGTATTGATGCATCTGTTAAGAAGTGTGGTGATAGTATGTAACATATTGGATCTAATATGCTTTATCATTTTATAACTAATTCCGGATGGTCCATATGCTTTGTTGTTGGGTAATTGTCTGATTGTTTGTATGACTTCATCTGTACTAATTTCTTTTAGTATTAGATCATACCATTCTGTTAATATTTCTGGCTTGGGTTGATATTTTGTTTTTCAGTTTTGATCAAAGATTGTATTGTTGTATAGATGGTGTGCTGTCTATTCATCATAATGATTACGTATATATTGTTTGATTTTGTCTGGTTCAGTGATAATATCTGTATTGGTTTTAATATTATCAAAGTGTACAATGTCTTTATGTCGATTGAGTATGCTATTAATCATTTTTGTTGGATTAGTAAGTAGTTGGTTACATCTGTTGTTAGTAGCTAAATTGATGTGTTGTCTTAGGTGTTGTGCATTTTCAAGGTTTCTTGCATTGTATAAAGTTTTCCAGTATTCCTTGGTGTTTTGTATCCATAGGCCAAGATCGGCCTGGTGTCGTGGTGGAGTTTGAATAGTGAAGCTGTGTTTAATATTAATGTTGTTAATTAGTTCAAGTATATTGTTTGGTAGTGGAATATTGTGTGTGAAATATTTTTGAACGCGGTGTATTATATGTCCAATTGTTTTAAGGTCTTTGTGAA